CGGGTATTGCTTCAAGGTTATTTTATAGACTTGCAAATATTACAAATGTTCTTGGGGGAAAAAAACCCAGACGCGCAGGGCTGCAGGTCAGCCAGGTTGTATTTGCAGGGAGCAACTACCCAGACTGGCCCTTTTTCAAGGTCTTGCATCTTAAACAATTCTCTCTGAAATCTCCTTTTACCGAGCAGAAAGATAAGTTAGGTCACTCCACAGCCACGCATTTCAACATCTGCTTAACTTTGTACACAGTTGCAGCCACCAATTCAGATGTTTTACCAGTTCTACCCACATCTCTACTCATTTTTTTCTGCTCAGAAGTTCCTAATTTCTCAACTTTTTTTTAGCCTCCAACTTCTAGTTCAACCATCTTCTCTTAAAAAGATGGCACACACCACACAGCACATCTGCTGAATTTTAACAGGCTCCTGGAAAAGCAGCTCTGTGGAAAACACCAGGAGTTTTAATATCAAGTCGAGCTGAACATCACAGGGGCGTTATAACAAAAGGATGGTAGTGCTTGAACTTTTCACAGCCAAGTGCCTCCAAATTGAGGAGGAGAAGAGACTGAAGAGCTTTTCCAGCTGGTGCAGGGTCTCTGCTGCAGTGAGGACTGCTGGCTGCATACAGACCTGGACTGGCCTCTCCTTGTAAGACACGATCTAACTCAATGCTGCGGGTGAAACCCAGCTCTGTGCAAAGAACCCACACAAAGCCACCGCCTTGGCAAGGTGGAGAAGGGCAGTGCATTACAGTGGGGTGAGATTGCACCATGGGGCATGAATTTCACTCGCAGTAAGTTAAAAGGCCAGATCCCAAGACGAGGTTACGTGTATTTGCCAGTAGAAACTGGTGACAGATGAGGAATGGACAGAACACCCCATGTATTTATAAAGAGAAAAAAAAGGGGCAAATTGCCTTTGTTTTACCACTACGAAGGAATGTTTTACCAGTTTTCTTCTTGTGTTCTTCTACAGTTGCTCACCTTTGGCACAAGGAATTCTATGTATGAGAACATTTAATTAATAATAATACTTCATATCAACACTCAGCACTTACATAGCGCTTCTCATATTCAAAGTGCTTTACAAAAGTTTGTGAGTCCTCACAACACCCCTGTGAGGTAGGTAAGTATTATTATCCCCATTTTACAGATGGGGAAACTGAGGCAGAGAGGTAAAGTGACTTGCCCAAGGCTTTATAGGGAGTTGAAACTCCTGATGTAGCGGCCCAATTCTGGTCTCCCTTATGGTGGTGTAACACAGATGAACTCCCACAGAGCTATACTGGTGTAAGCAAAACAATCCAACCCACGTTTCTCTGACTCCCAATCCTCTGCTCTGATCAACTGACCATACCTGCTCCACCGAAACCAACTGTTCACCTTCCAAAACACTACAGAAAGCCCAAACACAGCAGGAGCGAGTCTGCAATCGTAAGGCAACATACACGTTAACAGCTCCAGAGCTCTGCAGCAAGTTGGACTATGCACAGACGTGCTTTTGCCACGCTGCAAGAGTCTTAAGACAACTCAAGTGGACTCCAGCTCCACATGCATCAGCTTTGAGGCTGATTCTCTTCTCCCTGATGTTAGAATAAATCCAGAACAAAACAATGCGGCTGCACCAGCGTAGAACTTGTACAAGATCTGAGCCAGACCTTTCACCTGCTGCTTCATAAGCAAATTCCCCTTCTTGACATTTTGGACAGCTTCAGCATGGTTCATTTCACTCTCTCTCTCTCTCTGAGTTTGTATTTCTGCATATAAACAAACTTTCAACATTTCCAGCTCATCAACACCAGCATTTAAACACACCATACATCTTTCTAAGACCGATCAATATTTCCAGAAAAGTGTCAATGCATGCAAATATCACATACAAAAACATCAAGAGTGCTGGGAGATGATACCAAGGATAGAGGTGATCACAAGACAGCACACATTTAGATTTTATTAAAAATACCAAACAACTCACTCTTACTGTAACTATGCCACTTAGATGATCATTCTAACCTGCAGAAGTACAGGTACTTTCCCTCCAACTATTTACCTACCTACCTAGAAAGAAAGAAAAACAGCAAACACACACATTTATACTTCCTCAAACTTGGCAGGTGTGATTCATGTGAATGGAAAGGAGGGTTTGGGGAGGTGGGTGAGATTGTACACTGGGTTTAGGGCTGTGGAGTACGAAAGAAGTAGAAAATATCACATGCATCATTACCATCAGTAATCAATCTGATAAAAATAAACCCCAAAATTAGATGGATTCATGTATGACATCCACTGAAAATCTCAAACCCTAAGCACACTGAAGCTGGTAAACATCTTGTGCCACTTCACCTATGTCCAGACACACCATCAGTAAATAAGATCAAACAAACCTTGAAAAGAAAGCAAAAGGAAGCATAAACCAGCCTGGAGACAACAATCTTCCACAAACCACTTCCCTGCGTTATTTTCAAATACATTTTACTCTTAAGCAGTTTCAGAAAGGAGTGGGGGACAAAAGAGACCCACTACTACTTTTTTAAACTGGCTCAGCACCACCACCAGCTCAGAGAGAGGGAGAGAAAATAATTCTTCAAACATGATCCTTGGTACTCAATTAAAACGTTGCTAGCCAGCTGACGAAACCCTACATTGCCAGAGGGTTCGAAGTGGAGTGGATACACGGTGCTGCTCACAGTCCTCTTCATTTGCTATGATATCTGCTCCGTGGGCCTCATCTGTATATCTGCAATCTAGAAGAGACCAACATAGGATTTTACTGGAGCACTGAAGTCCATTTTAAATCCTGCACTGGGCACTTCCATGCTACACCGTTACAGTGGCAAGCTGCACATGAAGAAAGTTCCTGTGACTAGAAATGAGCCGCTTAACTGCGGTATTAGAAAGAAATGACAGTGAATGTGGCTGCTCTGCCTTCAGCGGAAGTGATAAAAGCAAACACGCAGAAAAGAGTGCAAGATGACACGGATTACAAACTCCCATGGTTCCAGTCTTTAGTGTGGTCCTGCTCATGGATGGTTAAGCAGAAGCACTGCTTGATCAGCCAAGGACAGGACTTTTTATCCTCTTAAGTCTAGGTCAGCTATCACTACTGATCCCATCTCAGGACGGCCACGTCTTGCTCCAAAGGAGCTGAGTTCACGCGAGGGGCTCCTAAACCTCTCATGGTCAAAGTCTGCTTTTGCAACAGGAAATTTTATGTTGCATATCCTAAACTTTGACACTGCTCCTGCCTCCTCCTGGCTCCAGCTCAAAGCCAGTCACTTGTTTCACAGGAGGGAAGTCCCTCTGGCAGCACAAGCACCTCAAACCACACTTGGGGAGGTGCATAGCACTTGGCAGGATCAGACCCAACACATCATTTGTCAACATGCCCATATCCCTCCTGTCCCCTTCCTCTGGGGTCAGAGCAGCCTTTGCTGGATCTGCGAGGCTGTGAGCTGCACAATCCTGTAGCTGCCATAAGGGAAGTGTAAAAAACCATGATCACTGCTAATCCCCAGCCCAGGCTCTGCTAAGCACACAGCTGATACAGCGGCTGCAAAGCTGATTAGCAAACGTCAGGGCAGCAGTTACCATCTCCACCTTCAGCCACCCACCACACAGTCCTCCAACCCAACCACAGCCTACCTGTACATGAGGTGGGGCACTGAGGACATATATGACAGCATTTGCCATATCTTCAGCTTTGAGACACTGGAGAGACAGGAAAGAGATTCTTAACCAAAGGGCACTTCAGGAAGTTAACCACAAGATCAGTTCTCTCCTAACCATCAATAATGAGTTTTGACAGTGCCACTGGGATATGTCAAAAAGATGCAAGCAAGCAGGAAAAACATAATCCATTAAAAATTTAACAAAGGACATGTCTGCTGCTGATAATTCTCTGTTTGCTGTGAATAATCTTACTACTGGCACAGTAATTCTGCCAGGTCAGGCATTGCCATCCTTATCAAAAATTACCAGAGAAGCACAAGAAATCCTGCGCGAGCCACCTGCAAGACAACACACACTCCCACTTCTTCTTGTGCAGGCATGTTTGCTTATTATAGCTGCTCTTCAATAAAGAGAAGTCATAGCCTGCCAAATGTCAAACCTGACTGATATTAATTTACAGGAATATCAAAATAAAAGGAAAAATACAGGGAGTTGGAAACTCAACCTGAATGAAATCTACATAGTGTGTAAATATCAGTGCAAAATCTGAGGTTTGAGTGCTGAGACTTTGGGGATGCTGATTGCCTCCTGGAAAGTACTGGGCACTCTGCAGAACTAGTTCCTTGTGCTATTAGCCAGGAGAGAGACTGTTAAACTATAATCAGAGCCACTTCCCTCTGTTTCCATTTCTCCATGTCCTACCCGAATGCTCTCATATGTTGCAGCAGCTCTCTCAGGGTCATTATCATGAAGTTTAAAAGCAAATCCCGTTTCCACCAGTCCTGGAGATATACACTGGAAAAAAGCAGAGCATATCCTAATAGGATTTGTAATTCCCCTTCAGTAAAAGAACAAAAAAAATGAGAAAAAACTTTTTAGCACCAAAAAAAACCCACCCCAGCCCCCTTTCTATTGCTCTCCTTCTCCACCCTTTTTCTAGGGGAATAGTTTAGGAGAGCAGGCTTAATGACTGTTGTGGCAGGTACCTCTGGGGAACCACTGATGTGTATTTCCCTCTTTATGCCCCAAGGGGACAGAGAAGCAGAGAAAATAATGGAAAAGTTTGCAATACAAATTAAATTCTGGACACAATACTTCTGAGATGCAAGCTCTGCACGAGAGCAAACAGCCCAGCTGATTGTGTCCCTCTGCTGTCATGAGCCCCCCTCGCTCTGGGACAAGCAACTGCCCACTTTGTGCACCCAAAAAGTTTATTATCTGACACAGCCCATTGCTGCTGCACCTTCTGCCCCCCAGTCTCTCTCTGCCTGGGAAAGAGGTGGCCAGGGACAGCTGGCCCCTGGGTTTCAATGTTCCCAGTGTGCTGAGCGCTATTTTTGCATTTCCTTGCCTATTTTCCAAAGGGAAAACCTCTGCCCCATAAAGCCTGGCAGCTCTCTGCCACCCACAAAACCAGGAGAGAGGAAGGAAGCCCACAGTACTCACTGTAGCTCGTATATGGGTCTTTGCTTCTCTGAGTTCTTGCCTCAGCCCCTCCGTGAGAGCCGTCACTGCGTACTTGGTGGCACTGTAAAAATGCACCACTGACTGTGGCACAACGCTGTGGCCATTCATGCTGAGGAGAGAGCAGAAAGGAAAGTGCTGAGAGGTGGGGAGGCAAGCAGAGTCCTGAGGAGGAAGCAACAGGACATTCAAACCACTGTCATGAACACAGAAAGAGACACTGACAGGGTGGCTACACAAGGAATTCCCCTCTCCTGCGGGGAAAGCATATCATCAGAGGCTCCTCCCAACACGGGTGTTTTCTGCAGCTGGTCAAGAAGTTTCAGTCTTCAACCTTGCACCATCACAAGTAGTTGGCATTATCCTTTTCTCCAGGGTTTGGCCTTTCTTGGATTCAGACCAGCAGAGGTTAAAAAAAAAAAAAAAAGTGGTTTGAAAATCAACCATCACAATCCTTGGAAAACCCATCCTTGGACACCATCAGCCCAGTTCAAGGTTAAAGCTCCACCACTCAAATCCTCTCTTTGAGGTAGAGAGGAAGAAGCATCCATGGCTGATCCCACATTCCCCCCTTGCATACCTGTTAATGTTAATAATATGCCCATCATCGATGTTCCTCTCTTTCATGGACTGGTAGGCCTCTCGGGTACAGATGCTCACAGCCATCACGTTGACCTGAGGGAAGAGAAAAGAAGAAGAAACTAAGACCAGCAGCCCTTCCTGGCACACCCAAAGCCACAGATGCAGGTTACAGTTCCTGACCCACGGCAATTCCCACAAACTCCAACAGAGGGAAGTGCACATAAGCACACCGCACACCTCACTGCACACCCCAGCTCAGGGCTGCAGGAACACGAGGTTTGGGCAGGGGAGGCACAGATATCCAGTTTTTGGTCTCTGCCAGAAATAAACGGTCTTAATTGTTTTACAGACAAGAGTGAGGGTAGAGCGCAAGGTAAAGGAGAACAAACCCACTGCCCCACAGTCAGCACTGTCCAGGAGACAAAGTTGTTTATTTTGTTCAGTGCTGAGCACACTGGAGTTTGGGCAGCTGATAGGACACTAACAGCAGGTAATTAGGTCAGCTAGTTAACGAGGAAATCCCCAGACACTGCCTGTCAGAGAGCCAGGCGCTCTGAGGCACTGCAAGCCTCATGGACAGCAAAGAGCTTCCCACACACAAATGAAGCCAAAGATCACATCGTGCCATGGGGAGGGCCAGGCTGGGCAAGTAACTCTGCAGATATGAAAAGCCACCCATCTCTCACGCTGTCCGCTGACATTTTCCTCAGCCCTAACTGGATTAAGTCAAGGGAGAAAGGACACAGCAATTTATCCAGTCCTTTAGCACAGGATCCAGAGCTTTCCAGGCTCTTGCTCTTTGGATCAGCACTGCCCAGCACACCATGGCTCAGGTAAACTCAGTCGTATCACCTCTGCAATGTGCCACTGTTAATGCACAGGTGGCTTGAGCTGACCATAAAACACACAGTCAAAGTTTCCAGGAAGAGAGAGGTATGGAAATTCCCCCAGCTGGAATACAAAGCACCCAGAGGTGTGTGCAAGACCGATGAGCAAGCCATCTCAGCAGCAGTGCTAATTGCTCAAGTTTATAGAGGTTTAGATTGGGAAAAAGTGGCAGAAAGGTAGAACGTGACTGCTGAAGCCCTCAAGAAAGGATGTAACCCTTTGAAGGCAGGACACACTGGTAGGTCCTACCTAATGGCATGTCACTTTGCTAACTAAATAAGCAGGTCAGACGAGTCTAAAGACACTGCTGTGATCTAAATATCCAGGAAGAACTAAATTTCTGATGAATCAGAACTCCAGATGCAGCTGCAAATGGGAGGAGCAGCA